GGGTAACGCACTCATTTAGTGTGTGAGAGGTCTGGGGTTCAAATCCCAGTCGATGCAACTTTTTTATTATTTTTTTAAGTGTCTTTTTAAGAAGTAGCCAGGATATGCAAGGATAAAGTATGGCTGTCATAAAAAAATGAACATAAATGATTTTTTATGCAACTCTAGTCATGCAAAATTCCGTATGTATCAAACTCAAACTGTTATATACGCAGTTGCTGCATCTCGGTGTCCTGTAAGATGAATTATAGTATATAAAAATAAACTTATACAGGGAAATACATACATATATACAGTACGTTTTCGATTGCAAATATCAGAAAATACCACAGAGCTTGCAGCCCTGTGATTTTGATTATAAAATCATATATACGGTGATTCGCAATGCACTTCTGCTCTGGCATGTACAGAAGTTTATCAGTTCCTTGCGAAAATGGAGGCACTATCATTGGCAAACTTCATGACAGCCTGCTCAGGAACGATGCGTCGGACTACAGTGACCCGGAGGGGAAACTAGCAACTGTTAACGTTAACAATGCTATGTTTACATTGAAATGTTTGCATATCGTTATATAATTTTATCATTACTTTTCATTTATTATTCAATTTTTATTTATTACTATTATTATCTATTGCATAGAATTAACCATAGAGGATATTGAATGAGTGTAGTTTAATACTAAATTTATTGAACGAGTTGAATAAAATCATATTATGCGAGCCTCTGGCGAGCATAATATTGTTTTATTCAACTCGTTCAATAAATTTAGTATTGAATCTACACGAATATAATATTCTATTTATCACATAATATAAAATAAGAACAATAAACTGTAAAAATGAGTAATTTTTCAACGACGCGCCTATAGTGTAACGCTAACATTAGCGCGCTTTAACGCTATGTTTCTATATAGCGCAAATGACGTCACGCCAAAGTGTTATTACACTAGTGTAATATCGTTTTTATTAAATGGCTTTATTACCCTCCTGTGCCGCGGTTTATGTGATAAATTATAATATTCAGTACTGATGAGAGGTGGTCTTTTTTATGTAAAATGAAGTGATCGTATTTCGGCAAATGAGAAAAAGGTAATAGTTAGAAAACACATTTACATGATTACGCACATTACCTAGTGTTTCAATTAAGCACTTAAAAGGACTCCACTGCGTTTCTTATTAACATGACGGAACTGGAAATATATTTTCGAGACTAATGTTCCAGTTGATGTAGGTCCAGACCAAATACTTGTGTGCCTAGCTCACTACGTTTTTTCTGACTGTATATTCTAACTGTAAAAAGATCAAAATTTAGAGGTCCTTCAACGCTTTTCACTTAAATCGGGCTAAAAATAGCACAAAGCACGATTTTCAATTTATTTCTGAGTACTTATATTACTTTATTATCCATAACATCTTTTTCTGTATATATTTCCGAGTTAAACTATGTAAGACATTCATATTTTATTTATATTTTACTTGACGATGAATATAAATGTATTTAGTGAAATCTACATTGTGTTTAAAGTTGAAGTTTGTAATTAATTTCAAAAGCTTTTTCTAGATATTTTTGGTTTTCTTTTAAACTAGAACAGGTCAAGATACAAAATACATGGGACACTCTGTGTCTGGATCACCTTTTGATGTGGTTAAAATATTTTTTCAAGGAAATGTCATAATTTTATTTTGAATAAATAAAACTAGGTGTTCCTAGTTTTTGCCACCAAATGGCACAAAGTCCTTGATAGCTTTGACCTCCTAAGCCATTGCAATGGATATGAAAAAGTTTTTTCTATCTTTATAAACATGTACGCCTTTGTACATGTATATATAGAGATATGATTTCACAGATATTAAGTTTAAAACTACTGATATAAGATAAGTGCTTCTTATATTGTTAACTGGTTGAGCAGATCTTTTTGTACTCTCTCGTATAAGAGGGTTTATATATGTTTAAACAACGTATTGATTGGTGAATGATTAATGTATTTATTGATCTTAAACACAAGATAAAATGTACAAGATAAGCAGCGACAGCTATGATAAAATGTTCATTTACACTCGTTCGATCTTGATATGGAAAATAATCATTGAACAAATAGACTTTAAATTTCATACTCTCTACTGGAGGAATACACACAAAAACAATGGAAGTTTTAATAAAGCATATTTTAACAACGACATGTTTATTACTTATGACAATTGTCGCGTTACAGGAAATGTTTGAAGTTCAAACATTGTGCAAATTGTATAATATGTTTATATTTTTTCAAATAATTAATGTGACTGTCAACAGATTTTCACAATTTATGGAAAATAGAATGTTGAGTTGGTTAATATGGATTATGATGTTTATGTTCAGTTTGGTCCTATCGCTGGTAATTCTTCAACTTTTAGGAGGAAACAATTTGCAGGTCCTCGTTTTATATTGTGTATTTGTGTATGTTTTCCCTACTTCGTGGAATAACAAACAGCGTCAAAGAATAGACAGTTTATCATCGCTGTATACAAACATGCTTCAGATTTTTACAGTGAATGAGTTGTTTAAAGGGCTCATTTCCATCTTAGGAATAACATTGTTATTATACCTTACTTGTATGTACTATTCATATATAGGTCACACAATATCAAATAAAGTACATCCTATCGCATTTTTTATGTTGGCTGTTTATAATGGAGAACTTAATACATTGATTAATTGTAGAAGAAAACAGTAATATAAGGCTCGCTGAATAACCTGGAAGTATTACAGATATTCAACGTATAAGTAATGATTTTACATATATTTGTTTCTTACATGTGAAACAAAAAGTGTTTACGCCTTTGCCGGCTATTTGCTTGTTCTATATCTTTGGAATTTATTTAGGTAATTACCGTGACTACGTTATAATGGAATCAGCAGAAATAGAAAACGAATCTCATCATCTGTCAAGAATATTTATGTTGACCGTTTTTGTTTACAAAACATTTTATAACATTATGAAAGATCAAATTATTATTTTGTTTAAACTATGCCTGTCAAATTATCTTTTGGTATACAAGAACTTTTACGGATTCAATAGATTTGTCTATTATATATTAGTAGTAACATTTGACAGTGTAGTGTTTCTATTTGTTATATTAACATTGGGCAAATATTTATGTAATGGTCTTATTTCGAAAATACATTATACAGATTTGCACTTTAATCATAATGGTTATGATAATATTGCAAGTGAATTGTGTAACAACATACAACCTAGAAGCATTGGTGAAGATGTTGTTTTTACATCTAGATTTCCGTACCCATTAGAATATACAGACCCAGCTTTTTTTTTTATTAAATTGTTTCATAATGACACTCTTATCAATGAAAGAGAAGGAAGAATTAAGCAAATTGAACATTTCAAGCAAAATGATGCATTGTTTTGTATGCTTAAAATACCAGTAATTGAATGGTCGGACTATGAAAATTATACCTGTAAATTCCTTTTGATTAACGCTAAGGTTATTAAAATAATCAAATAAAAAATATATTTAACATTTGAAGAAACGGGACCATCCTTTGAGGATCATGTGCAGAACTTTCGATTGATTTCGCAATTTAACGAAGCTAGGGCTTTCTACATTCCTCACGGATCTGGTCTTAAATATCGAGCCTATTACTATATAACGTTAGCCGATAAAAGTGAATTGGCTGTGAAGTACACTGTTAATGGCGAGGACATACAAGATGTTTGCAAGTGGAAGATTATGTCATGTAACACTTTAGCTTTTCTTGCTAATGGAAAAGAAGCTCGTTTGAAAGTTAAATATATCGACCTGATGAATTTTCAAAAGATCATGATGCTGGAAATTCAGACTTGTATATGCAGCCAAATGTACGGTATTCATGAAGTAACAATCTATAGAGAAATGTTTAAAAACACCACAAGTAAATCGGAAATTGAAGTAATAATCTCTCCAAAAAAAGTGTATTTTTTCCCCAACAGAAAATGACTCTTCTATAAATGAAGATCTGCTAAGCGGTGGATTGACATACGACGTACTTTCACTTATATTGGAAGGAAAAGACATGTTGGAATTACCTTTAATGCTTGGATACAATATTAAATTGAACATTTTTAAAATGCTTAATTACATTTTAACAAGCGTTATCTTTGTTTTTATATATGGAGTCCTGAAGATATCTAACGTAATTGTTAAAACATATTGTCGTTCAACTATTGTCCCTTTCCGAAACAGGCTATTGTTCAAAACATGGACTGCACCAATTCTAAACATTCAATCACCTGTGTTTGCTGGAATACAAGCTCCAAATGACGTCATCTATGACGTGTTTATTTCTTACTGTAACCAAAATTATGATTATGTATTATCAGTTATATTACCTTTCATCGAGAGTGAATGTAAATTAAGGGCATGTTTCCCAGATCGGAAGCTGGGGTTTCAAAACTACAACTCTTTATAAAAACAACGCAGCAAAGTTACAAGTTTCTTGTTATCTTAACAACAGATTATTTAAATGATCCAGATTGTAACGATTTACAATTACAAAGATGTATTCTACCTCTACTCTGTGAATCAACAGTACCTAAGAAGGATTTAATAGTTTTAAGGATTAGGTCTATCCCTATTCCAGTTCAGATCAAATGGGATCCTGGCGTCAGCATCATAGATATATCTGATACAAACGATTTTAATTGTGTCAAGTCAACATTAAAAAGAAAGCTGTATTCTAATAAGAGCAAGTTAACAGGCATTTAATAAAACTAAGAAGAGAATCAGCAACACTTTTCGCTCTTTTGCAAATATAACAATCATAAAATCAACGCTTCAAAATGTCATTACCAATAAATACGCGAAGATAAAATAGATTTTATGCCCACATAAAATAATTTATGTCATTGTTCTGTCCCTATACTCATTACTGTACAGAATATTACGGGTCAGGTTTTAGCCGTTACGGGTCAGGTTTTAGCCAAGTACGTCTTAGCCAATCGATATCAAGACTTAAATGCTATTCTTTCAACATACCATTATTGTACTAGGCATTGCTTAGTTTACACGCTTTGCCATTTGTTTGTCTGTACTTGTCAGCTTGGCTTAGTTTACACGCCTTGCTATTATTTCAGCATATCATTGCTGTATTAGGCATTGCTTAGTTGACACGCTTTGCCATTTGTTTGTCTGTACTGGTCAGCTTGGCTTAGTTTACACGCCTTGCTATTATTTCAGCATACCATTGCTGTATTAGGCATTGCTTAGTTGACACGCTTTGCCATTTGTTTGTCTGTACTGGTCGGCTTGGCTTAGTTTACACGCCTTGCTATTATTTCAGCATACCCTTGCTGTATTAGGCATTGCTTAGTTGACACGCTTTGCCATTTGTTTGTCTGTACTGGTCAGCTTGGCTTAGTTTACACGCCTTGATATTATTTCAGCATACCATTGCTGTATTAGGCATTGCTTAGTTGACACGCTTTGCCATTTGTTTGTCTGTACTGGTCAGCTTGGCTTAGTTTACACGCCTTGATATTATTTCAGCATACCATTGCTGTATTAGGCATTGCTTAGTTGACGCGATTTGCCTTCATTCATAAATTTTAATAGTGTGCATTGCTTAGTTTAAATGCTTTGCAATTTGTTTTCAAGTCTCAAATTATGTACTGTCTTGTCAGCTTGGCTTAGTTTATTTTATCCATTCTGCACGGCTGATGCTTTAATTTGATATGAAATTGGATTTTAATTGTACATAGATACATTGTCACATCATGCCAGAAGTTCTTTTTCAAATTAATCATGTATGGGAATTTTTTAACCCTACTAGCCCGCGCAAGAAAAATGTCCAATATCTAGTCAGGAACGACAGCCTTTATAAAAGGCCGCGGGAGATTTCCACATCATGTCTTAAATACATAAGTTTTTTATTAATCTAGGTTACAGTTTTACACTTTAATTTTTCGTAATTTAAGATCTGTCGGTATAAGGCAGCAGATCTTTATATATAGAAAAAGCAGTGAATTACAGCAAACTGAGTGCCATTACAATCTTTCAAATTACTGACAGTTCAAGGCTGCAGTACGTTGGACATACTGTAGGTCACAGTTTTCCACTTTTATTTTGGTAATTTATGATCTGTCGGTATAAGGCAGCAGTTCTTTAGATATTATAAAAAAGACAGTGAATTACTGCAAACTGAGTGTCATTACAATCTTTCAAATAACTGACAGTTCAAGGCTGCAGTTTTCTCCTTGCTGACGGTGCAAGGCCGAAGTTTATTTCTTTCGTGCCATAATAATGTGTATGACGGTATTCCTATTCATGTATATCTTGTGGCAGATATGCACAATTTGGCTTCATAAAGGTTTTATAAATCTGACAGTACAAGGCTGCAGGTTTCATAATTAATTATACATATAATTTCAGATTGTGTTCATGCTACTGCATGATATTAATATCACTAGTTGAATGGATTTATGTAAATGTTATAAGTACATTTGTACTGAAGGTTTTTATGTATTATTGTAGAAATGTTTACATTCACATCTTGTTCAAAGGTCTTGTTACTTTATAATTTTTTGGAAGAGTCTAGTCTTGTATAGAAACTTTTTCTATTTATCCTTACTTAATACATTAATTTATATATTTCATGCAACAATCATATAATGAACAAATTAACATTAGACACGTCAGACTCACATGTATTTAGGTCAAATGCATAAATAAGGTTTAATTAGATATTTTACTATTTTATTTAACTAAATTTTTGTATATTTTTCACTTCATGAACTAAGTTTCACAGGCTAGGGGCCTGTGCTAAGTTTGATGACTGCAACTTGGAAGCCATGGCCATGCAATTTTGGCTGTTTCACCATTGAAGGATATCTGGTTGCTGATACAATAATAGTCCATTCCTAATTTCTAATTTAAAAAGAATTTTTTCTAGTTTCATTGTCATTGATGACTAGTATATCTTGTAACATTTTTCCATTACACATAGTTTGAAACTTCTATAAATTTGATTCATGCTACCTCTATTTGTTACAATCAGTTTAGACGTTGAAACAGTCCTGATAATGCATACTGTCGGATGTCTCAATAATACATATATAATGTAATTGTTATAAGTATTTTCACAGGTTATTATTTGGTCTATTAACTCAGTTGCTGGTTTACAATAGCATATCCTGTAATGTGCCTGACAGTTTAAGGCTGCAGTCCACATATATTTAAAGAACAAGTCAGGATCCATTTAAATGTTAGACATTAATTCTACACATATTATAATATTGTCATTAGATATATGATTTGTCGTAACATTTTTGTCCTAACATGACTTTATTAAATTAATGGTAACTTCGGCAAATTTAGCCCCTCTGTTTCAATCCTTATTACAGGTCAAGCTCATCCCTAGTCAAGTCTCCCTGGGTGGCGGAAGGTTCCCTTTGTGGCGGTTTTTACCTCCCAGTTTGGTTATTTCGATGCAAATATGTACATGCCATGTTTGTTATTATGTAACATTTGTCATGTTTGTTATTATGTAACATTTGTCATTTATGGCATTTAATAAATGCCCTATTTCATTCAACCTAAGTGTTGTGTTTTATCTCATACCAAACAAGTTCGTCTTGCCAGTTATATTTGCTTGACCTGGACAATACATAAAATAGATTTTATGCCCACATAAAATAATTTATGTCATTGTTCTGTCCCTATACTCATTACTGTACAGAATATTACGGGTCAGGTTTTAGCCGTTACGGGTCAGGTTTTAGCCAAGTACGTCTTAGCCAATCGATATCAAGACTTAAATCATGTGATGTTAATTAACCAATGATTACATTAGATCTATCACAAAGAAATAATTTTGGCGAGGAATGATTCTCGTCTTTCTGTTTACTAAAATCCACCTCCTCCAACTCCATCCTCCTCTTTCAAATTTTGATGTTGATGTAAATACCATTTCATTTATTCTTAATGAATCAGTTGTTTCACTTATTGTTTATCTCAATTATTTTTGCAACTATTCATGAGATACACTATATATATATATATAATATTATGTATATTGTTCATGCAAAGATTTATAAAACTAGTCAATGTTATATTATCTCTTTCAAATATTTTTCTATTTGTTGTCATAAATACTTATGATCTAGTCATATGTAATACACTTTTTAATGTATAGAATGTTTAATCTATTTTCCAAGGATGGAGCCCTACATCAAGTGGTACTAGACACAAGATAAAAGGGCACAAGTTTCCAAACTATGGTTTTTCCTGGGCGAGTCGACCACGATTTGGAAAATATTTATTTTTTCTGGTCAATTGTTTTTGATCAGCAATCCATTTTATTATATTTATGTAGATGGTTTTTGGTTCAATTTTGTCATCTTACATAACTTTTGTTAAGATTGTAATCTATTTGAATTACATTACAATGTTATCATAATCTGGCGGTTTTTACCTCCCAGTTTGGTTATTTCGATGCAAATATGTACATGCCATGTTTGTTATTATGTAACATTTGTCATGTTTGTTATTATGTAACATTTGTCATTTATGGCATTTAATAAATGCCCTATTTCATTCAACCTAAGTGTTGTGTTTTATCTCATACCAAACAAGTTCGTCTTGCCAGTTATATTTGCTTGACCTGGACAATACATAAAGAGTGGGGACAGTTTCAAGTTATTACTTGATATGTGAGTTGTGTTTTGTAATATCACGTCACAAAACAGAATTTTAGTCGATGTTTCATTTCTTTAAATTATTCTAAAATCATTAAAGATATGTCTTATTTACTTATATCAAGCATGAATATATTTATTTCTTCTAATATATGCAATTTGATATTTGGTCTAAGGTATATACTTGTCATTTTCATAGATTTGAATACAATAGTTAGTACTTACACAATGTATTGAAAGATATATTAAACCTGTTCATTTGATCAATATTTTGCCATCGAAAATTATTCTTTTCTTATATAGTTGTATAGCTGTAAATAATTAAAGGTTGATAATTGGTTGCTGCTTGCCATTATGCGATAATAGCCCGAACATGTGCATAATGACCTGAGGGCCGCAGGCCCAAATGACATTATGAACTGGAGGGCAATTATCGCATAATGGCGAGCAACATCCAAGTATTAACGTCTTGAATACCTATGTCGGAAATACGGCATTTAGATATCGCCGCGTATCTTGGCTGTCGCCCCCTCTAAGACCCGTTGGTAAATAACGGACAGTTGTCAATGTAAACAAATGTCTGTCGTACAAGTTTAACAAGAAAACATGACAACGCAAAATAAATACAAGACAATGTTTTTGTTGTTTTGTATCGATAAATACAATATCCTTCCTCTTTACATTTTTTGTGAGAATTAGTCAATTACATTTAGATCTAGTGCCAGTTTTTATGAAGTTTTTGCGTCTACAGTAGGCTACTCTTAATGTCAACGATCCGATCTTTTCCCTACCGTATATCTGAAATCATTTGTGGAATTTCTGAGGGTCATGTATTGTTTTGAGTTTATAATTCTTCAATGTTTAGCTTTGCTGATTGTGATAAATTATGTCATTTAAACTTGTACAAGTGACTACAGTTCATTCAGTGTCAGAAGCCATCTTGTGAGTCACTGAGAATTGATAACGTCAATCTGCATGTGCGCTCATTCACTCGCCCATTATGGAAAAGTAATGCCGAGTAGCAAGACAATGACAGATCTTGCCATAATGGCCCTGAAATACGCTAGATTTTGTTACTATATATAGTAACATAGGTATTAAAGACCTTTAAATACTAAATATTTTCAAGTATGTGTAAATGAATTTGTTAAGATATATGCGTCAAGTCTGATCTTTACATGTACATTATGTATTTCAATTGTTTTTATCTGTATGTCGTTAATATGTGCCTACGTGTCAATAATTCGACAATAATAAAGAAATAAATATAAACAGTTTGTTAATTTATCAAAATAATAAATGATTCGCCCCTACCAACGGCATGGTCAAAGTAATGCCTTGAATGTTTTTTGGCAACAGTATTTACATATGTTACAAACGGGCGGTAAACATTAGTAGAGCGTTGGACTGTGAACCGGGCGACCGGGTTTGATTCGACAGCCATTGTTATGTTCTATGTGCTCATGCCAGACTGCAAGGCCATACTACGATAGTGATATCATGAAAAGTGGAAAGAACGATGGTGAAAACTCGAATCCACGATGATGAAAAGTGGAAAGGCCGATGGTGAAAAGTCAAATCACGAAACCAAGATTGGTGAAAAGTCGAAATTACGATGATCAAAAGTACGATGGCGAAAAGTCAAAATAACGAAACAACGTAATAACCCTATGTTGTACGATATGATTTCTTCATGTTCCTGGGTGAAAAAATATATGTTCTGTTCAGAAACCTCGATGATAAAGTGTCAAAAGTACGACATTATATCGAGTTTTCACCATCGTGGTTTCGTTTTTTCGGCTTTTCACCATGGTATTTTTATTGTTTTGAGTAAAATGTGTGTCGCGATGTACATAACGGAACACTGTAGTTTTTAGAAGTTACAATTTTGATTGGATCTTTATCAAACTTTTTCAGAATGTTAATTTTTGATAATATCTCGGATGGATTGAAAATGGGTTATTTCGGGGTCAAAATCTAGATGAACAGATTACATTGTCCGAATTGTATCCATGATATACTGACCAGGTTATCGTAAGGTTTATCTTGGGTTAAAAAGTAGATAACCAAGTCAAATGAAAGATATGTCTAGGTCACAATCTTCTTTTATTGTTCATCACAACATGTTTTTCGACTTTGTGTCTCAGGGTGGAGGATGTTGTTTTCTTTCTTTTCTTTTTGTTAAAAACTAGAACATGTTCAGAATGTGTCAGGTCTTTTATCAGCAACCTATGATGTGTCGTTCTTCTTAAATTTAACGTGTGAACAACAACAAAGTCAAAAAGTATAAAATTTGAAATTCTTACATATTTTCTAGTCTAGTTAAATATATATATATCTAAACATCAATGAACTATGTCTACAACTAAACTTAAACTGGGAAAGTCAGTCTTTTAAACTTTTAGAGTAAATTTTGATGAAATTATTAAAGTTAACTATTACTCAAAAATTGAAGAAAAGAAACACTTTATTTTCTAAATGGACAAAAAGATTTTGTTACTATATATAGTAACATAGGTATTAAAGACCTTTTAATACTAAATATTTTCGAAAATAGAGTACGTGTAAATGAATTTGTTAAGATATATGCGTCAAGTCTGATCTTTACATGTACACTATGTATTTCAATTTTTTTTTATCTGTATGTCGTTAATATGTGCCTACGTGTCAATAATTCGACAATAATAAAGAAATAAATATAATCA